GGGGGGAATAATGTCAAGTCAACTCTTCGAGCAAGATTTAATAGATTTGATCAAACTTTTCAAGAGATTCTAACGTTCAAGGATCGGTTTTGTAAACATATAACGTGCTTTGCAATTTGTGTCGATACATTTAATGAAATTAACCTAAGCTAGGTCTTTATAAAAAGCACAGATCAATTTTAAACGAAATTGTGCATCTTTATGTCCAAAATTACTATTTCAGCATATGTTTTTCTCTATACTTTTCAAAGCTTTTTTTTTTTTTTTTTTAAATCAGCTCTACCTCTCTCTCTTCATACATATATTATTTTTACACATACATACACACTCATACACATTGTATATAATTAATTTTAAGCAAACATCTTTCTTTTGGAATGGTTTTCAACTGTAGCCGAAAAACTACATATATCACTTTTTTTTCACAGAAAGAATACTCGTGTATATTATCGCGATCATTATGAGAAAATTTTGCATGAGTTTCCGCAATCCTCACGAGATATTCTAAATCTGTTGTGCAATAGTTATTCGGCAAAGTTGGCCAAAGGTTGCATAATTGTGTGTATACGTTTCATCTCTCGTGATACGCACATACTATGTATACACATAAAATATGTCGCATATTTAAATTGTGGCATACATTTAAATAATGTTGGAGAAACCATATTTTGCGTTTCACGCTGAATAATGTAGCATATATTCGTGCGTTATTGTTTTTTTTTTTAATAAAAATCACGCGATCTACTTAATGAGGACGGAATTAAACGACACGCATATTTTCCATGCGCCATATTTACGTAACCTATCGTATTTACTGAACTGCTTGACCCTTCCTGGTTATTACGCATTTTACTTGTAAACCTGCTTTCTACACTTCGTCAAGCATACGTTATCGCTAAACATGGGCTGATCCCATCGTAACGGCTGCGAGCAAGTAATATCTTTTTCCTGTTCGTTGTCTCTTGTTTTCTCATCCTTTTGTTGTATTTTTCAAACCTTTTCACATGATTTACGCAATTTTTGTCGATGCTACGTATTGTAGAATTTTATCTAGCGTACCTCTACGGGAGGTGCAACGATCCAAGACTCTGAGGCTCGTCTAGCCATCAGAGCAGGACTGCATAGCAACGCTTCCTCCTCTTCGTCAGGCTCGACCCAAAACATGTTTGTTCCTTCGCAATAATTACTAAGCAGATATCCTCAAGTTGCTTTAAAATCATTCAGAGTTTTATTCACCTGCGGAGATGAGAATTATTGCCGTTTCTTATGATTCAAATTTTTTTTGTGCCATTTTCTAAATTGCTGTTCGTGCCGTTAAATAATGTGTACATATGTATAATATATATATTTATAAAAATAAATTTTATATATATAAATAAATTATATACGTATATATATAATCGATAAATAACTCTACAAATGTAGAGTCAATAAATATATTATATATTACTTTATATAATATAAAATACGCTTACACAGTTTGTATCGTTGAATTACATCAATCGATATGCTCATTGACGAGATTCAAAACATTTTCTTCCATCATCATCACGGATTTGCTTAATCAAGTATTATTTGCAAACGCGACTGCATCTGTTGTCACGCATTGTGATTAAATAACGATTAATCGTATCGTTAAATTGTAATACGTTGTCACACTTCTCAATCTCAATCTCAAGTGGACATCTCTCGGTACGACTCTTCGAATTTACGTTACATCTGGGTTTATCCTGGAAGCAATAATTATAGCCAGCTGGGCTCTTCGTTTACACTTGTCTCGATCAAAAGTCTTGCGCGATTGTATTCGAGGATAAAACTCTTTCTCGTGTTTATCGTCTCATAACTATCTTTCGATAATTTTCAATCAAAAGCACGAAAGCGGCTAATGTATTTTTCGGATACGCAGCTTCCTAGTAAGGAAGCCAGACCGTAGACTAAATGGCCCTGGCTAGCACGACAGAAATAGAGCAACGCCCCACTATTTTCAAAATAACTTTGCCGAGCGTCGCGACGCTCGCGGAGATCTACGTCGGGACATTGCCAGAGGCAATCTTTGCAGTTTCGCGATTGACGATTGAATTCTTAAACTTTTCCCAAAGGCATTAAAGCTATTTTGAAGCTAAATTTTTTTCCAAATTATTTCCTTTTTTAAGATAGTAAAATGTACAAAAAGAAACTTCAAATTATAAGATGCAATTCGTTAATTGTGTCCAACCGCGTGAAATATGCAAATTGAGTCCAACAACGAATCACCCATGACTCATATGTTTAGCATGCGAATAAATCCGAGAGAATTTTAAGTATTTTCTTATGCCAAGCAGAGAGGGGCTTCTCTCACTTATTCGCTCGTAATTTCTGCAGTTTTGTTAGTCACATCGGGCAAAAAATAATGGACCGACAAATGCAACGTGCTTAATTAGCCTCGAAGTTAATCGAAGCTATTTTAATATTTCTTATATTAGCTCTTCTAAAAAAAAGTAACACGATAAACAAAAAGAGACGGTAAAAGAAAGTCCGATTTATGCGTTGCTGTTTAATTTATCATGAGCACACTCTAAGTTCTCTTATACATGATATACATAAATATATAACATTTAATACATCGAATTAACGTTTGTAATGTCGTTGTTTGGTGAACGGAAATCGGTACAGTTTCTACATTAAAATCGTTCTTGTCCGAAATGTGATCTGAAAATTTATTGAATACACATAATATTACGTCTATTTTCACATCCTCGTTTATGACCTTTTCTACACACATTTATACGATTGCATATCTATACATACAAATAATTATGCATCTATATACTATATCTCAAATCAGAATGTGATATTTTTGTACTCTACTTTATTAAATACCTAGAAAAGGTCTTGTTATGTGAAATAAAATAATTATTGGCAAGATTGGCACTCTCAAGTGCGAAAAATTAGGAAAAACATCGTATTCATATTAAGAAAGAATACATATTACACGTCTCTGTCTCGTACTCTTTATTTTCAAACGATCGTGCGATATATTAATTGAGATTCGTTCATAAGCGAGTAATTCGTGAACACATGGGTAGATTAACGACTTGACTCTCAAAATCCAATCCTTTGGTTTAATAATGTCGCATTTGGACAATTGCATTTGCGTATTTACGCAAATGATATATAAATCCTTTCCTACCGCATTTCTTGAGTAATTCTTGTGTTATTGTCGAAACTATGTTTTGTGATTTAACTTAAGATGTTAATGTACATATATTAAAAATTGTTCAATCGACTCCGTGTATAAAAATAGTGAGTATTTTTTTATAGCTTAATCGAAAGCCTTGGAGTATAACGTTTTGTTACTTTTTTGTTTGTGCCATCCTCAGTAATCTCTGACGATTAGAAATTCGACATGCCGATTGTAAAGATCGCGTAAAAGTTAATTGTACACAGTTGCAAGTTATTATTGGCAAAGTCGGTCTTAATCTTATTATCGTATATAATTCCGCCATATCGTTTGCACATAGGTTTTATTAGCTTTATTTATACGAAACATATTCGCGGTATATATATACATGTATGTATGTATGCTTGTGTATGTGTATGTGTGTAACTTGGATATTCTTCTCGTATAAAAAGAATAGACATCATACAAACAAATTTACCGCAGGCGGTCGTAATGCCGTAAAACACCCGTTTTCTCTCTTTCCTTTTTTCTCCCTTCAAACGTTTCAAATTCTCACGCATGAAAAATAATTTTCGCATTCGGCACGTGTCTTTTTTTTTTTATATTATGAACGATAAATTATCGTAGATTTAATTAAGATCTTGCTCAAAGCTCGCGCTTTGTATCGAATGAGGCTTACTCTGTCGCAATTGCCACTTTATTTTAACAAGTTCCTGTGTATAAATGTATTTACTTAAATTGACGATAAGCATGCGTTAGAGAAAAACAACGCCTTGAATAAGAAAAAAGGAAAAGCAAGCGGCGTGGAGGTGATGAATAATAAGAGAATCTCTCGCAAAGCTGTCATCTGAACTCTGCTCTGATCTCTTGACATGTAGTATGATAATATATAAGTAAATGCAGCTAATAATTAGTTTCTATAATAGCAATAGTAATTTGTAATAAGTTAGATAAGCCATTCAGGTTGAGGATTTGAACACACGAGGTGTTTCTACAAACTAGAAACAGAGCTAGTTATGGTATCTGATAATACAGAGATTAAGCTCGAGAGAGTATCGATCGATCGAATAATCTAAGCGAATAATGCAGGGAAGAGTAGGTAAGTAGATGGGTAGCGATAAGGTTTGAAAGAAGGGTCGAAAAAGGCTTAACATTTAATTTTAGAGGTTTAAAGTAGAATCGAAAAGCAAAAATGGTCCCCGCCTCCACGCCACGCGCCAAGCTTACCTTTTAAACTTTGTTAATTAGCTCAGTTAATGGACGTGACATTGTGCGCTGGCCTTAGCTTAGCTCTGCGTATACATATATGTTTGCATATGTGCGTATTTAATCAATGCAGTATCCACGGTATCCACCATTTATACTCGTAAATGTAGTTATATGCATATTTTTGCATTCCTTTTCTCTCTCTCTCTCTTTCTCTCTTTTTCTCTTTCTCTCTCTCTCTCTCTATTGCGCGAATTAATAATCTTATTTGACTTATAATCTATCTCTAACGGAAAAATATAAGGAGGGCACTTAGTTGCTTCCTTTTGCTGAAAAATATTACATTATTGTTGACTAATTTATCGGTGATCGCGCATATTATCACGTATATTACACACACGAGTACTATATTACATTTCGAATCGATTCAATAAAGCAACATTGTTATCGCTAATATACATGTTCAAACACAATTTGCAAAATCTACAGATTGCGTAAAATTCTGTTTTCTTTTTTCATTAATATTTCTTACGATTCTCTATCTCTACCAACATACGCGCGATCGAAGCTATCTCAAAATCTTTAAGGTATACAGCTCTTTTTCGGCTATATTTTGATCATCAATATTTAATCCTCTGAAATTAATTCACTCTCTCTTTATCATAACAACAATAATTGTTGCAGCGAATTTAACGGAATGTGTACTATGTTTTTGTACTCTAAAATTTATTAAGCAACGGAAAATTTTATTTGAATTGTTTTTATTATATTTATTGTTTATACTATGCATTAAATTGATATACAATTGCGGATTTATTCCAAGATTAACATCAATGATCAAATCGATGGTAGCTGTAAATTGTTCGCACGAGTAGACAATAATTCGTGTTACATTACACTCTCGCAATGTTTCCATAGAAAAATAATCCGTCTTTTACAAATACATATGCACATCGCTCGTTTCGAGTGCACTTGTTTTAATCAAAATTTTTAATCGACTAGCATCTTTGTTCGACATCGCGACAAAGTTAAGGGCTAATAGCAATTTACACAGGTACAAGTACTTTCCCGTTCCTCATAATATTGCGAAAATTTAGTAGCATGATAAATGTGATCATTATTAGAATGTCCTCTCATTTTTTCGTATAAGGCCCCTTTCTGAAAATCTGTCTTACATCAAGTAAATTGCGAAAGTATAACGAGTTCAACGAGAAACAAACGAGTCGATTTTGTGCACAGGTCTGTAGTCTGTGCATGCGACAACTTTGCATAATTAATCATTTGGACATTCATTCAAGCATTACAATTGCATGCTTGTTAATTAAGATAACATTATATGAAATATTCGTAAATTCATAGAAAAATATCATCGACCCAACGAGGCGGTGTCGGAGATGCGTATTCAAAATTATTCCGAGACAGCCAATTATCGGACCCTGATTCTTTGAATTAAGGTGCTGAATTATGCAATACTAGGATGTATTGGGCGGAAACGGCGACCAAAATCACATTGCAATTTTCAGCCGATTTGGCTCGAAACGTGGCGTGAGCGAGTCTCTCGGAAGCTGCGCTCCTTTTCCTGTGTGTATGGGTGTGTATATATATATATATATATATATATATATATATATATATGTATACATATATATAAATATATGTGTATGTATTATCTCTTTTTGTGGGTGCATATTTTATACTTATACTTAGAGGGTTGCGCGGCCCTTTGACGTTGCGGTGAAGGCGGGGACAGTCCGGTCTGCTTCCTGGGATGGCATGCACAAAACACAGCACAAAACGCCACACAGTTACACAGAAAGACAAACAGAGACAGAGAGAAGAAAAAATACAAATAGATAAGGTTGTATAAAAAGATGAATGTTGAGAAAAATTTGAATAGGGAAAAAGAGGGGAGAAAATGGTAGTGCATCGAAAATGCAGGCGCGAGAGAGAAAAGAGTGTTTGAAAGAAAAATATATTTTATATATATATACATATATTTATATATTAAAGTCTATTGGTAAAAAATGTAGAGAGAAAAAACAAGAAAAGACGAAAGGATGATTTATATACCCGAATTATGAAAATAGTGTCAATATTGTTTGTTTTTACATGTCGCAGCAGAGGAATGTTGCATTCGCAATATACGAAATTAATGTAATATATTTTTAATACACTCTCTCGCGGAGATTTCGAAAATAATTCGATGTTATTTATGTTTGAATATTGAGAATACCTATATAATCGTTTGTATTATTATTATTATTTAAAATTGTTGTGGAAATTATTATTTATATAATCTGCGCGGCAATTACACAATCATTCATTTATCAAAAAATTTTCATAATATGCAATATAGGAAAAAGAAACATTTCTTTTCCTAAAAAAAAAGATTTTCTTGTAGAAAAATTTTATTAATTCTATTAAGTTTGTCATTTTTGCCATTTTCACATATCTCTGCTGCGAAGAAAAAATTCAAATTTAATATCGTTTGCGACGTATGCAATACCTTCGCACGCACGATGTGGGATCATCGAAACATAGTGGTAAAAATTGTAATCTTGTTTAATTAACGCATAACGACTGTCGAAATTATTTTCGATGTTGATTCTGAAAAGGCGTCTCATTTTACTTCTTGATAGACTAAACATCAAGCAAACCGCTTCACCGAATTGCATTAAATGTTGTAATTTGTGGAAAAATTGTTTCAAAAAATTCTTTTGCGTAAAAAATCAATGTTTGTATGAATATCGCCTTTTATCCAAGTGGATAAACGATAAGAAATTGTATGTATATATTGAAAGAAGATTTGTGAAAACGTTTATAGTATCGGGTATATAGAAGTGTCGGTGCAATGCACGATTTAAAAATACAATGAACAATAATACGTATTTATATAAGATAAATATAGATAATTTAATTAAATGCAATATGATGACGTCAATACACGAAATATAAAAAGATTTGCGATTCTTGAAGTTTGTTTCTGCTCGAATCATCAAAACATAAGTACTTGTAGATTTGTAGATTTGATATAATTAATATATATAAAAATATGTCACGTAACTTTAATATTTCAATACTATATATATATATGCGCGCGCATGTGTATATAAAACCGGTACATATTTGTAATTTTTTTTTTTTCAAAATTTTGCAAATGCCAAGGCGTCATCAGTGCATAAGACATATGTGAGTGTACGTACATGTATGTACACACGGCGAGAATATGTGTATTATACATATATACATGTAGGTACACGCACGCACACACACACACGCACGCACACACACACATCATTTATAATAGAAGGGGCAGGAGCAAATGTGAGAAAATAAAGACTCACCTTCGGCACGATGCTACCACCACCGCTCCCGGACGGTCCGCGAGTCGGTGCCACGTAGAGGCTTTCGGTGCGTTTAGGCTGTCCAAGACTCGGCAAAATCTCTTGTCCAGGATTACGATTTTTTATAAAAGCCCCCTCAAATTGGCTGGGAGTCGGTGCTGTATACGTTGGCGTCGCGGCACCGCTGCCTACTACAGAACCGTTTAGAGGTGTACCCGCTCGCATCACGCTCGGGGCTCTCGTCGATCTATTCGTCGTACAAAAAAAAAGTTATTTTAATGAAAAATTGTTTCAATGAGCAAAGAATATTTCTTATCAAATCTTTTTATACAAAATGTGTATAGTTTTTTAATACTTAAAGAGGGATTTTTTTAGAATGCAGCAATTCTAAATTTAGATTTTTTAAATGGATTATCCTGTATTTTTGTTCAAATTGTAATAATTGTAATAATATCTAAATGGTAGTAATGCGCGCATTAGTAATAACAGAAATAGCTGCAAGAATAAAAATAATGAAATAGAGAGAAAGACAGAGAGCAATATCAATCTATGATAGCATATATGCGGGAACGAGATATAATATACAATATATATTTACAATTAATAAACTAAATTTTAATTACAATGTATCAATGTATACGCCGTACACATGTAAGTTACTCACCTATCGGGCATATCCGAGGGCAGATTCGGTATAGTTTTATCGACGGATGGCTGTCTTGATCCAGTCAACCGGGAATGCGCTCTGGCATAACGATCTACGGAACTATCACGACTAGGTGGCCTCTTATAGTGATCCAGCCTGTACCAAGCACAACATAATGATCCTTTAACTTTCTCAGCTTATTTAAATGTAATTACAATTTTATAGAGAAATTTAAAAGAAAGTTTTGAAACGTGCACAAATTTTTTTTATTTTTTTAATATATCGTTTTTTTCATATATATATAATTTTGAAGGAGCCACAATGCTTAAAAAATGGTGTAAGATTTTTTTAAATCTGAAAACTTTTAGATTTATGTATGTATATAAGAGGTATCTTGTCTCACCTGTCGTTTAACGTTTGGCCAATGGTGCCAGGTCGATCCTGAGGACTCAGAACTCTACTGTTTCTTCTTAAGCTCGTGGAGCTCGATGGTCTCGCTGCATCCCCAATACCATCAGGCTGATATTGCTGTGACGAATGCATTTCTTGCTGCGTGTATACTGGTTGCGGATTGTATTGATTCACCTGAGCAGGCCCATATTGATAAGGTATTGCCGTCTGAAATCAATTTCACGTAACTTTAGCAGTCTCTCGCGAGAAATTGCTAATTGATTTCGATAACAGAACAAATACATGGACAGACGTTGTCCATATTTGAAACTTTCTCAAGAATATTTAGCATGCGTTTCCGAGATAAGCGATACAAGGTATTATGAATAACATGCATTAACTATCTCAGCAATTAACGACATTAAATTATATAGATAGAATATAGATAGTCGAGAAATCATGTATTTGTTCCAGTGTCTGGTATGTTGTTAAAGACTATTCAAAATTCTGCAGGTTTATCGGATTACGAATGTAATTTTATTACTTATTATTACTTACTATACTTCATTAAAAAGAAACACGCAGCGAAGCTAATATGTAATTGTGTTATTATATTTAATGTAATAATTTTCAATTATATCTAAAAGCTTAAAAAATATGTAAACTTATGTTCCAGTTTAATCAACCATATCATTCAAAACAGCATATATATAAAAAAATTGTTAGACGCTGGTTATTTAATCGTTAGTAACAATTAATCATTAATATCGCTATTAACGATTAAACACGTACAAAGCTCGCAGATGAAATCAAGCTCACGCGGAGAAACGGAAAGGTACAACACAAAGGTCAATATAGCGAGTAAAGTCACCTGCTGATTAGGGTAAGCCTGCAAATTTTGAAAGTTGTGCTGCCCGATAGATTGCTGCTGATAACCAGAGTATTGATCAACCTGCAATGGATTAGCCGGATGATACTGCGGCTGGTATGGACTGCCATGGAGGAATTGGTTTTGCTGGCTATACTGATTCGGTTGATACTGGTTCGGTATATTGTTTGGGTATTGGCTCGCTGGAGCCGGATTCTGCGATACATTTTGCGAATATTGTTGATACGGATTCTGATCGGTCAGAGAGGTTTGCGCGCTTAGTTGGTTCATGGACGATTCATTCATCAGCGGAACAGACGGTACTTGATTCGGTATTTGATTTTGCATTGGCGGCAGCTGATTCTGCGGTAGCGGCTTCATACTGGCCCTACGTATTGATTGCATTACATTGCTGATGGTGCTCGCCGCTCGCTCGGTCGGTGTTGCCGTCGTCGTCGTTGTTGCGATCGTCATCGTCGTCGTCATCGCCGTCGCCGTAGAATCGACGGTCTTGATTGGTGTGGCGCCAGGCTGATCCATGCTGGCTGCTTTGTGCAGGATGCTTTTACCAGGTACAGAGTCCTGAGGTGGTGGTACGTATTTGGGTATCTCTCTATTTTTCAATCTTTCTAAACCCGGTTGCCGGAAATCCGGCGCAAATTGCCTCGCCGTTTGCTGCGCTAATTCTGAGTCCTCCCTAGCATGTTCGGCGGCAATATCGGCCAGTTCCGCCTTCCCTCGAGCCGTTGCCGTCCTGGAGATGGCAATGTCGGCTTTTTGCAAGGCAATCTTACTCGCTCTCTGAGCGGCGTTTACCGCCGCCTCTATCCTCTCGCGAAATTTGGCGGACCTGATTAGGAAAAGGTGCTTCTTTTTCTGGCTAGTGATGAGCACATTGTTTTTGTACTTTCCCTCTTCTTTACTGCCGTCGCGAAATGTCGTCACACCGTAACCGTACTTGCGATTGTTGAACCACTCGCCCTCGTATCGCAGGCCGTCGCTTCTTTCGGATATGCCGAAGCCGGTCCTCTTGTCGTTTTTCCATTCACCCAGGTATGTCTCTGTTACCGATGCGTCCATCTGCTCGTCCTGCAAATCGATGTCGTACAGTTGATGCCGCGCGTTATAAACTAATCATTTCAATTATTTTAATTCAAATTTAAAATCATGATTATATATATGTATAAAATTGAATACACACATGTCTCCCTCTCTCTTTCTCTCTCGGTAATAAACAAATTTAATGATTGTAAAGAGCAAAATTAAAATTTAATTGATCTTGTCGAGCAACTGAAAAAGTTGAGAAAATCAAGCGACTCACCTCGATGACAAAGGACGCATTACTGTCGGTGTGAACCGACGCCGACGCTTGACTCTGCGAGCTCTCCGTCGACATCCACGATGCAGAGCTGGCATTACTTCTAATACTGCCACCAGTACCACGCTTCTCCAAATCCCCGGTACTTCTTTGCTTCCGTATTTTGAGACCCTGTATCGATAAAACATTCTTCTAGATAATGCTCCAGTTTATGATAAGAAGTTTGTGAATCATTTTCCGTCATTCCGACAGACTTCTTACTGAAAGAATGCCCTTCTTCAAAGACTTTTCGGTAAGGCTCTTTCTTCGGGCGGGTGGATCGTCGCTTCTAGCTTTTAGAACGAATCCTCCTCGACTGTCGTCTACGCGACGATCCCTCTTGTCGGTGGGTTCTGGCGTCGGGGCGATCAACGGTCCACCATCGGCGCTCCTCAACGACGTCAAGGATGCTCTCATTTGCTTCGGCGGTTTGTAGTGACTCGCCAAACCAAATGGCGCACTTGCCCTTACCCCGTATCCGTGCCGCATGCCGCGAAGCCATTGACCTTGATAAGTACCTACAATAGATTATCAATATAACGCAACGGAATAGAAACGGAAGCACGTAGGATCTGTATCATTGGCGAATCACACGCCATCCTGTCTATTAGAAGATAGAATAATTTATAATCGATACATGTAATAAATCTCTCCACGAGATTTGAGATATCCCGAGGTTATCAATAATAATATAATTGTATGATTTCAAAATCAAGCAGTGCTATTGAACGTCCGTTCAATAGCAATAAAGACAACATTTTTATAAGACTTTTTAATCTAGTCGAGCAAAAGTAAAGTGAAATGCAAAAAATTTCTTGCCATTCCCCAAAAATCGTACATTAGTCGTCATTACGGATGATGAATTCCCTACATTCGACAATAAGACATATTGTTTTTGCCAAAACGTGATCGTGTTTCGAAATGTCTTGCGTGAGTCACGAGGCGAGTGATTACGCGCGCCCGCTCAGGGATGGAATGCGCTCAAGTGTGCTTATAGGTTCGTGCTTTTTCGGTGAATACGCAAATTCCAAATCGATGAAAAATTGCGAGAAAAAAACCGGATGCTCATCCTGTTGAAATAAAAATTGCAGCACGGTAGCGTGACAGAGCGAAAGAGAGAGAGAGAGAGAGAGAGAGAGAGAAAGAGGCAGTATAATTCTGGAATAAGTTTGTTGCACGTCGTTATGTATATGTGTGTATATTAATTTTTAGCAAATAATACATGTGCCAATTTTTATTATAATATTATCGTTTCCACTTTATCAATTCATTATATCAATTATCAACAGCATGCAACTAATATACAATTAGACATTTTATTATGCAAGCATAGATGTTTTTCTTTCAAAAGAATTTTATTACATTAATATGTTTTACATTGAATGGATTGACAATGTTTATTGGTATATAAACATGGTTGATCGAATGCACGATGATTGGGATGTTGCATTGGGATATGCATCATGCTTTCCTTCTCAGTCATTCTCCAACACAGTTTAGATGCGAATACAAGGTATTCCATCATTGCGGCGTTATTATTTATGTTTATGGACTCGTTTCCAGTTGTAATAATTTTTTTAGTATCTACAATATTTATTTCAAAAGAAACAAAACTTATTCATTTTTATTAATTCACTGATAAAATCTACATCAGAATTAATATTAAAAATTATAAAGTTCTCTCTTTCATTTTTTTATCAAGTTCTCGTTTTGCAAAATCTTTCGCAAATTTTTTTATCAAGGAATCTGTCATTGGCAGTACGACGGTGTTGGTTGGTGGAATACCCTATATATGGAGACGCCAGGCGTCTCCCCTCTTCTCAACGACGGAATATTATTTCACTTGCGTTTAAACAAGTGGGTCACGCGCGCGACAGTTCCCGGCGCTCATAACACACCAATATACACGAATCTTTGAAATTTCTACGGTGGCGATAGTGCCAGTCTTAAATGCATACCGGACGTTTGCAATTAATTTTTTAAGTATGGTCAGAGACCGTTGCACCTACATAGAATATCAAATCTGAAAAGCGTTCGGACTTTGATGTGTCTGTCTAAATGTGTATGTGTGTATGTGTATGTATGTAAACGTAAAAGTTTGAATGTTCTTTGAGTATTCGTGGCAATGAAATGTATTACGCTATAAATTACCGGGTCGTGTCGGGGTAATGAGTTTTTGCTTAATATTTTTTCTAAAACTCGTTTTTATAGTGACGTTACATGTTACTACTGTAAATTATTCTTAGAGCACGCAAGACCATTATCATCTTTTTTCTTTTATATAAAAAGTTATTTCTTATTTTTATATAGATTTTCATTTCGATATACTCTTGTATATCTTGTATGTAAAAGAGGTCTCCCTTTTCATTTTCCGTTTCATCTCTGATAATGAGATTAAGAATGCTCATACATGTTATACAATTTATATTTTCTTCTTATCGGAATGAAAAGCCATTTTCATGAAAAGTTTCGTAAATTTGACATCTCCCGATGGTCTTAACGAATTTCGAACTGATGCCTCAATGCTGTCGAGACACTGCGAAATCTGACAGAAACGTTAACCAAACTACGCGGCACTACCGCAGAAAAGTGGATCGCGCCATTATATATCGATTTGCGTATCCGTCAGCAACGACCCAGATTAATTATTGTCGAGCTTCTAATTTTCACTATTTGAAAATTGTGCCGCAACTTTCGACGATGCTTTCATAAAAATTAATTTATTTAATAAATGGGTAGTTTTGTGAAAGTTAACTTGGCGCAAATTACCTTCCAGTGATGTAGATTGTCGGAGAAGTCGTTTTTTTCCTAGTCGATTTTAGTGCTAATTAATTATGAATACAATCTGATATTTTATCAGTTCAATGCTTAATTACCTAACGCTATTTATTTAAATGTTTATATAAATTTACATTTATACATACACACACAATGTTTTGTAAATTGCGTTAAAGCAGACATTTTTGCATTTATTACACGTAAGCTATAAATGTGTACACGATCGATAATCTTTAATGAAATTCTTTCATTTCCCGATAGACTACTTGTAACACAGAGTTTAACATAGAATGAATTTAACATGGAACAGAAATCATCCTGGCACATATCTGTCATATAAAAATCATACAGAGCAGACTTTAATTTAATTGCAGCGCAGTGTCTGCTTGTCGATGCCCCTTGTAAAAAAATAATCAACAAACTTTTTGCATTCCTTTGAAATTTCTCACTAACGAAATTTGCCAATTATTTTCTCTTAAAATGTTGTGGAAAAAATTGGCCATAGATGATTGAATTTTATAGCGTATCAATTAAAATGTATAGTTTTTAATGAAATTTTTTCATTTCCTGGTAGACCACTTGCAACGCAGAGTTTAACATAGAATGAATTTAACGTGGAACAGGAATCATTCTGGCACTTATTTGTCATATAAAAAGTATGACACAGAGCGGACTTTAATTTAATTGCAGCGCAGTGTCTGCTTGTCGATGCTACTTGTAAAAAAAATAATCAGCAAACTTTTTGCATTCTTTTGAAATTTCTCACCAACGAAATTTGCCCATTACCCTCTCTTAAAATGCTGTGGAAAAAAATTGGCCATAAATGATTGAATTGTATAGCGTATCAATTAAAATGGTCACAAGAACAATCTACAGGGTAAGTCAAACGTATTGTACGATCCTGATTCGCTATATGGCACTAGCTAGTCTGCCTGAAATAGCGCGGCCATCTTCCGAGATGGTGGTCGGTTACACGTACATCGAAATACATTTCGGTGTTGGTGAGAATTGGCCGTGCGAGTGTATTTCGGTCCGCAGCCTCCACCAGATTGTCACAAACCACCCCAACGCTCGACTGACGTACGATATATCTCTTTCTATCTGGGGATAATGAGAGTTCTAGGAGAAAAACAAAACTTCAAAAAGAAAAAGGAAATGAAATAAACGCCGAGCGATATCTCTCCGCATTCCATGTATATATCTCTTTTTATGCGTATATTTCGCGAATGAAGAAATTCTCTATCTGATTTGAAACTATAGGAGAATAAGGTATATACTAGTTCAAAAAATAGAAATAGAGCAACAATATACATATGTCGCGCACGCGCCATCCACTTTAATCTGATGTACTTGTTTACGTTTATGGCGTAATTTGCACTCGGTAATATATACGTTAAAACCCGTTTGTATGTACTTTGAAAGAGAAACGGTCGACTACTTTCTTATTGATTTCAATACCTCGTCGTGCGTTGTTGCACCGTATGTAGCTTGGATTTCAACGCCATTATTACATAGCTGTACATTGGGTTGCGTTAATACGTCACGGCGATAATAAAGTGGCAATTTCTTTATATATATTTCGAAATATATATATATATAATCCCTATAAAATTTTTTTTTCGCGGATATTCTTTTAATTCTTTTAATGTGACTGAATAAAATTTTAAAAATTGATCGCTTTATATCATAATCTTATTTTTACGTCTGGTTTATCTTTCTAAAAAATTCTCTGATTCACTAATTAAGAACGGTTTAAAGTTTACAATGACAATTTTTATACGCGATCAGCGGCAGCTTATTCTGTGACGTAAGAAAGTATGACGCCAAGAAAAATCAGAAATAACAGCCGAGCCGTATAAAATAAAGGTAAAAGCAGTTCATCAAGGTAACCCACGTATAATATTAACAGCTTTATATTCCATATACACATCGCTATTTGCATAAAGGGTTGCAGCACGCTAATACCGCTAATACTCGCCGAGGGCAAAAAGTAGATTACGTTTTTTTTTTTTTTTTTTTTTATTACGCGTGCGTGCGAAATTGTTTGACTTTGTCCCATTTGTTTTCCATACGATGCAGAACGGGATATCGCTGTTATTGCATATCACGATTTGATTACTTATATAATGTGTCGCTAAATTATACGACATATTATTGGATACGATTTGCGCCATGTAACTGGGTCACGTGAGGTTGCGGATGTTCTTACCATCCTTTTCTTTGTGGATCGTAATATAATTTAATACTGTAGATTATAATCTTAAAAACCGTGATCGAATATATTTGTTTCGTATAAGAGATGTGTGTAATTTAATTTTACGTTATTTTACAACTCTCTCTCTTTCC